CACCTTCCTGTTTAGTCACCTACTCGTTTACTCACCTTCCTGTTTAGTCACCTTCCCGTTTACTCACCATCTTGTACTTCCGGCTGGTCCGCCTCTTTACTCTTCTCTTTGTAACTCCTTGTTCAGATCTAATAAAAACGTCTTTGTTCGCCCTCATCTCTCTCTTTATATTGTTTCAAACCATTTTCACCTCAAACAAGTACGAGTTTGACGCGGCTAGGTGGTTTGATTTCACTAGGATGGAGTTACCGGCGGAGTCTCAATCCGCTGAGTTCTGATTTCACTCTGCTCCCTCCTACGCTCCCTCTCGTAAGTATATCACCATCATCATCATACGATTGCAGCTTAGTTAAGAGAGAGTGCTTAGTCTAAACTTCCTTCTATTGATTTCGGCTGTTGAAAAATCAGACACTGTCCGTTGTAAAAGCGGTTTAAAATCGCTGAATCGTTCCGGAAAACTGATTTAAAATGTGATCACTCATATTTGATTTGGTTGCTGATTCTGTTTTTGAGATCTTACTTTTGCCAATTCGTTCTATATTTCTCCGAATCATGCTAGCAAGAAATTGCTGCTAATCATTTGTGTATTTCAGCTTTCGTAACAAAATTGTTACTTAGTGAGGAGGAGGAAGAGGAAGAGGTTTCTGATGACAAAACCGAGGCGGTGTCCACGAAACTAGAAGCGAGAGATGTTTTTGAAAAGGATAGAGAGATGTATCAACCTCCATATCTGAATAAGACAGGTGAATAAACTGATGTACCTCCATCTCTTTAATTAGTTGATTATGATGTGTGTAGAAAGTTGGAAGACCACTAGATATGTTTATAGATTTCTTAAAAATATCTTTCTTTTTCTTAAAGGAAATGGAATGGGTTTTGGGATGTTTTCCTCACAACAAGGTAATAACTTGAAGAAAGTCCTAAGTCAACCCATATGCAAAGGTGATAACCTTTTTTCTATTTTTTTTTTGCTATAATAGTATCATCATGAGCGTGCATGTAATTCAATTGTTGATTATGCTTTAACACAACTATCTTGAAAATTTGATCAGCTCTTTTTTTCTTAGTAACTTTGCATGTGGTCCATCGTTGGTATTTAATTTATTGTCTGTGGTGGTCTCATTTTCTCTACTTTTACCAGGGCCAACGGTTAGTATTCACAAACACATTGATAAACCAAAATTCCGAGCTAAGTCTAGCATCAGACCAACTCCAAGGAGCTCGACGTTAATGAAACCTACTGCTAGTCAGCTGTAAATCTTCTGTCATTTTAATTTCATTCACCTAACACGCAGATGTTGGAAAAAAACTGATTCTCTTGCATAAGATTTTGTGATTATCTCTGATCACTCTTTTCCTCTGCAGGTACTGGTTATCGGTTGGAGCTAAACCAACAGACTCAGTCGAGAACATGCTCTTCAGGGCCGGTTTGATTCCTCCAAAGCCTATGGTTGTAGTAGGTTCCAAGAACGGACAGCAATCCACCAACCACCATGTTTCACCCATTACAGGTGAGATCTTGAACTAGGAGTGCAGCAATGAGCTAAGCTTTTGTGTCTATGTCAAATGTGTTTGATGTTATGTTGTTTCTTTTGTTGTATCTTCTGGATTAAGAAGTTTGGTGAATTTTCAATTATGGGTTTGTAGCATACTATGACTGATTGAGCTTCGGTATTATAAGCCCATATTTTTCTTTAGTTAGATCGAGCAGTCCTTCACGAGCTTTTTATGCTCACAACTTTGCCATTTTCAAGATGTATACTTATAGGTACCGTTCTCTGCGATCATCGTTATACTTTAACGTTCATATATGTGCTACGTTTCCTATCATACGAAGTTGTTAGTTTATCTGGCGTATTCGTTCTTCAGGTGTAGCAAACGCAATAGATCTCGCATATCGTTTCCTTCCAAAATTGAAGTCTCTTAATTGTAAGTATTTCAATCAAAAGCCCTGGAGCTTTGTGCCAGAGTAAGAATACATATGCCATTTTCACTCACTGTCGAGTCAACCTTCTTTTTTCGGGTTGGCTGCATATTCCCCCCTATAGACACATAAACCCTACTTATTTCCCTCCAAACTACTAAGCTCTTTGCTAACCTACCCAAACATATATTTCTCTTCATATATCTCCCTAAACTTTTAAAATCACCCTCTCTAATTATGTTTTCTAATCGTAATTAATGAATCGAAAATTGCGTTTAGAAAAGAGTGATTGCCCACCCGACCCAACATTTAAAAAAACCAACAAATTGAATTGGGCTTATGTTTTCTTTTATTTTTTTCACGACACAGAAACAAGAGAGGGAGTGGGAGAGTTGTCTGGAACAGAGAGAGAGACGACAGGAACATAGAAGAGAGAGAGACGACGACGAGAGAGACATAAACAAAGAAGATGACCCAGAAAGAGAGAGAGACGTAAACGAAGAAGATGACCCAGAAAGAGAGAGAGATACATAATTAAGAGAAAAGAATGCAGAGGAGAGAGATACACTGAAGAACGATGAAGGGGCTGTTGTTTCTCCGTATGGAGAATTTTGAAGCTTGTTTAACTTAGATTTCCTATTTTTTTATGTCTGGGATTGATTTTAATTTTTTTTACAGAGATGAAAAAGGTGGAATTGAAAGTGCTTGTTGTGGCTTTTGTTGCTCAACCTTTGATGTTTTATTAGGTTTCAACTTTCAATCGTCTTGTGACTCAACTTTTCTTTGTGAGATTCTATTTTCACTGAGTTGTATTTGTATGTTTTTCATCACTCTCTATCTTTAGAGCACATATATAATTAAGACAGTATGAATCATGCATCATGTGGAAGTGTAGAAAACTAGTCAAATCCCAATATTTTTCTTGAGTTCCAAACAAGTCAAATTAATGTTTTCAACTAAAGCACAAACAACATGATAATCTCCGTTACTGAAAAGCATAAAGAACATGATAATCTCGAGACTGAAAACATAGATAAGAGTCTTACATATGTCTACAAACATAGAGCGTTTCTGTTAGAGGAGTGCCAGGTCTAGTAACAGAAACTGCAGAGAAAAGTGAAAGAACAGCTCCAGTAACACAACTGGTATGCCCAATTTGCGTGACGAAACCAAAGGACATGGCTTTTAGCCGCGGTCACGCTGTATGTGAATATATACAAATATATTGAAAACTCTTTGCTTGCTCTATGAGCAAGATCAGTTTTGTGATTTCTCTGTGGCATTTATTTTCATGTGAAGACTTGTAAGGAATGTGGTGTGGTTGTCAATCATGCCCAATGTGTAGACAACCTATAACAACGAGGATAAGGCAATACACTTGACTAGTAAAACGGAGACTTACAACAGCAAAGAAACAAGACAAGCTAAGAACTTAGAAGCTTAAACAGTCGAGTTGTTGCTTGGCTGTGGCCATGATCATCTCAGTTACTAAACCCCTTTCCAAATAACCATATCCTATCATAGCTTTCAATCATCTCTTTCCTTATATTAATTATCATAGCTTCCTTCCTCCTCGTTATAAGTCTTTCTTCTTTGTAAAAAAAAAAAAATTCAAACTCAAACTCAGACATAAACAAATATAAAGTCTAAGTTAAACAATCTTCAAATTATCCATACCTAACAACAACAGTCTCTTCATCGTTCTTCAGAGTGTGTCTCTCCTCTGTATCTTCATTCCTCACTGTCTCTCTCCTCTGCATTCTCTCTCTCTTCCCGTCGTCTTTCTCTCCTCTGTTCTCGTCATCTCTCTCTTTTGTTGTTTCTGGGTCATCATCTTTGTATATGTCTCTCTCTCTCTCTCTTCCCGTCGTCTCTCTCTGTTTCAGTCAATTCTCTCTCTCTGTTTCAGTCAATTCTCTCTCTCTGTTCCAGTGAACTCTCTCTCTCTCTATGTGTCGTGAAAAAAATAAAAGGAATCCTAAACCCCAAATTCAATTTGGGATTGATAATGTTTGTTGGGTTTTTTTAAACGTCGGGTTGGGTGGGCTATCACAATTTTCTAAACGCAATTTTTGATTTATTAATCACAATTAGAAAACATAATTAGAGAGGGGGGGGGTTAGAAAGTTTGGAGAGATATATGAAGAGAAAATATATGTTTGGGTGGGTTAGCAAAGATCTTAATAGTTTAGGGGGGAATAAGTAGGATTTATGTGTTTATAGGGGGGAATATACAGCCAACCCTCTTTTTCCTTTTGACATTTTATATTGATATTCTATATTTTTGCGTTGTTCCAGAAAGTACCAGCTGCATCAGGAGACATGAGAAAGGCTTTATCTGTCTGCAGGTGAATACTCTTCTGAAAGTTTAGTCTCTGAAGTTGCATAAGATGAATGAGAGTACTATCCTTTATATTCTGTATTTGTCTACTCTTGAAATTATCACACTGAATTTGATAATCCCAAATTTTGTTTTTATATTGATTGGATATTCAAGAGTGCCTTAGAAATCTTAAAAACAGAAGTTAAAGGAACAGCAGATCAGGAACCACAAACTTCAGTTTCAGAGGATCAAGTGGTAAGTATTTTCACTCCCTGCTTTGCTCTACTAACGATGTAAATATGAAGGATGCTTAGAGTATGTGGTCTTCTAACATAATTGTTATCATCTACAACTCTACAGGTAAAGATGGATCATATGGTAACTGCATTGGCCAAGACCTTTAAATCTCCAGTAGTTGACACCATTCAGTCTCTTCCTCAACACCAGAAAGTAAGTTACATCACCATCGCCTTATTGTTATATGGTACTTGTCGTACTTTAGTATGTGCGGTATAGAAGGTGGAAGGTTAGTGTTTTGATAGTGTAACACTTATAAATAGTTGTTTATAAATGGACTTATTAGGGTTTATAACTTTATTTATAATGGTTTATAAGGCCAATGAAGTTCCTTTAAAGGTATAGGTGTTTTTTTCTCACTGATGATTTATCTTTATTCATTCCCTATCTTGATGTCCACTATCACACTAGATTCTTAAGCGTAACACAAAGATAAAAAAGTAAAAGATTTTGGAGATGGGAACAAGGACAGTGAAGATGGTACTCGGTGCATGGAACTATACGGGAGGAGGCAGATGGAACCATTGTGCTTCCCTCATGCTGTTAATGGAATTGTTCCCAAGGTAAAATCACATTCATTTCAGTCTTTATTTACTTCAATGGAATCTGTAAAAATATTTTTTTGTGTGTGTTTGGGGTTTTAAAACGAGCGTGGTCAAGTTGATGTGTGGTCTGAGAAATGTCTCCCACCTGGAATAGTACACTTAAGGTTTCCTCGAAGAGGAGTTAAGAGGTTCCACATTTACTGTTGAATCAGGTTCATTTGTCTATCATGTAAAGAAGACAAGCAAGATGAGAATAAGAGGTACACCACGTTCAAGCAGTATATGGGTGAAGTGAACATGTTTTTACATGTGGTTTGACGCTTGCTGTTGGTCAGAGGAAAGTTGCAGGGTTTTCTGAGAAAAATCAGAGACGACACTAAGGTGGAAGATTGAGATACAAGTCAGTGAAGTGATTTTCAGTGAGTTCTATAAAGAAGAAGCTGAAGGAGACGTGTGCAAGTGATTCAAGGCTGTTTCATGGTTGCTCACTTCAAACAATTCGCGGTGCTGTGAGACCGTCGTGCCAGGTGGTACTGGAGGCAAAAGCTTTGAAGCTCAACAGCATCTCGCTGAAGGTTTATCTATCTCTTGCTCATTACATGTCTGCGTATGCTTCAAGTTATAACTATAGACTCTATAGTAATTAATGGGATTGATATTATGTTAAAGGGAGGGCCAGAGGAGGGAATACGAGGAAAGACCAGTTAGGAAGTGAAGGATATCAGCAGATGGTCGCAAAGGAGGTCACAGAAACCGTGGAGAAGATGTCGATGAGGGAGAGGAGATGGACGAACCCAAATCTTGGAAAAAAGTGTAGAGAAAAAAGTGAAAACAAGGGAAAGAAACATACTTTTTCAAGGTTTGAGTTTACTTCATTTAGTTTTTTTCTCAGCTTCCTTGGTTCGAGCTTCTGTGGAAGCTTTCTCCTTGTTCTTTTGCTCCAGGAAGATTGGTTACATCTTATGGCGTGTTTTTATGTATTGTATTATATTTGGTTAAATAGAAATTTTTGAAATTTTGTTATGATCATTATAAAATTTATGAACTCTGGACCATTTATTCTTGTTTATTTTGGATTTTTGTTTACAATGTTTCTTTGTTTCAGTTTATAAAACTAACAAGAATTGAGTTTTACAAGTCCAAACTTTGTTGGAGGTAGATTCAAGTGATTTATAAAACCTTATTAATTAGTTTATAAATATTTATAATTAAGTTATAGACTCCGGTAGATGTTTTATAAAGTATTATAAATCAATTTATCAACTCTTATGAATCAATTTATACACTCTTGTAAATCAAAATATAATCTCTTATAAAATAGTTTATAAAATTTCATAAATCAGTTCATGAACTCTTATAAGCCTTTATAAATGATATATAAGCTTATATATATAATATATTAACTCTTGCAAATGTTTTATAAAAAATTATAAATTATTTATAAATCCTTAGTAGTTATTTTTAAATTCTTACTATTAAACATATATCCATGATTCTTTTAAAATTTTTGTTTAGGTAATTGAATGGTTTTGTACGCCCTTATATTTTTGTATAAACTCTTACAACTCTTAAAATGATTATATAAACTCTTACAAAATGATTTATAAACTCTTATGAATTGATTTATAAACCCTTATATGTTTTTTGTAAACTCTTATAAATTAATTTATAAACGCTTATAAATAAAGGGGACTTATGAGCAATGTTTTAATATGATTTTTAATCCATACAAATTATTTTATTAACCCTTATAAAGGATTTATAAAATCTAATAAATGATTTATAAAATTCTAAAAATGATATATAAACCTTTATAATCAATTTTACTAGATCTTATAAATGATTTATAAACCTTTTTATTTTGTATACTCTTATAATTTTCTTTTATAAAGCTCCAGATACCTCCACGAGGTCTTTCACCGGATCTTGATCATATAAGAACTTCAAGAATACCACAAGAAGTTCACTGCCACGGAAGCAAACTATGTGACTACAAAGATTTGGCTTCAACACCATAAAAAACATAAAGAAACACATGTGCATACCTATTGTATGACATAAGCTGATCTTTTGGTTCTTGCATAAGATACTTTATGCTTTTGAGAATCCAGTTGAAGAAATTTGAAAACTAAAACAAAAAGACTATAATTTATTGACATGTACACTGGGTGGGAGATATGGAACAAGGTTACTCTAAGAAACTAAAACTTTTATTATCTAAAGAGCTGCATGCCTCTGTATCTGTTGAACAACCGAAGATAGAACCATTTTCATAAATTTCTATAAACATTTATAAATAGTTTATAGATTTAATAACTTGTTTTATAAGCCTTTATAAATGATATGGACTTACAAATAATTTTACATATCTATATAAATTGTTTTATAAACCTTTATAAAGTTGTATAATCTTTATAAATTATTTTTATAAACATCTATAAATTATTTACATATCCTTATAAACCCTTATAAATGATCATACAAACCATTATTTAGGTGTCATTATAAGCTTTTCCTTGTTACGACATCCTTCAAGAGACCGACTCTGCATAAAAGAAAAAAAAACATTATTTATAAGCTTTCATAATTTTCTTATAAACATTTATAAATGGTTTTATAGATTTAATAACTTGTTTTATAAGCCTTTATAAATGGTATAGACTTGCAAATAATTTTACATATCTTTATAAAATGTTTTATAAACCTTTATAAAGGTATATAATCTTGGCATACAAAGGTTGCAACTAAACAATGCTGCCCTTAGTTACAAGCCTAAGAAAGCCACAGAAACGAGAAGTAAGAGACGGACACTTAGTTTTGTACTTGGCATACAAAATGTTCAACTCTTTGTAGTTTCCTTGTGTTAAACCACTGCCCAATAAAAGACCAAAGACACATTAAAGACAAAGCTTATACTAGCTAGTCACTGTATCATAATCACTGAAACATTGTAGATTAAACATCACTGATGGGTTCTTAGAGGCTACAGTAGAGAGAATTAAATACTTAAAAGCTTACCACTTAGAGGCTACATTCACAATAAGAAGCACCTTTCCAGTGAACTTGCTTAAACTCAAATCATTCCCTTCAATGTCCTGCAAATTAGAGAATTTGATACTGTGTTATTATATGAAGAACTTTGTAGAGCTCGTTAATATATTTAGATTAAACATAAACCTCATATAGATTCTTGACACATATAGCGCCATTTTTTATCATATAACAGTAAACATGTGCAACAGTAACCAGTAATCAAGAACCTATCTCTAATGACTCCCCTTAAAGATCAAGTCTTTGTACTGAATTATTAATGAATAAAAACTTTATTAGAAAAACTGAAAGCAATGTCCGATCATAGAGTTGTTAATACTGTCCTAAAGTGTATGTACCCAGAAGAATTGAATCAACTAGAACTAAATATGATCGCGTAAAGGAACAACTAGCTAATGAATTGTCGTGGTTTAAAGCTGATTATTATACCTTAATGGAGATGTGGTAGATGGAGCTGTATGATGATTTTTCGACAATAGCTGGAGAAGGCAGGTACTTGTAAAGGTACAAGACCAAGGCTAGAGGCAATACGAGAATCAAGACACAAGTTCTTGATCTAGGCATCGAGACAGAATTCTGTTTTAAGTCTTCTTCTCTATGGTAAAATAAAAATGAGGACGAGCAAACAAAAGTGTTCTAACACAACTCAACAAGCTTGTTGACTTAGAAAAGGGACAACTGTTTCCAGATTCAAAAGTCAAATACTTTAATGGGCTTTTACATGGGTTACGATCAGTTAATAAGATCAACAATGCGTTGAAGACTACTGCACATTCATCATAACAAGAAATCAAGAATGAAGATATACAAAGAATGACTAGCACTCCTTGGTTTCAATGCGTTATGATATACCATGGTTTTGACCCACTTTTGACCATGGTATTTATATGATTTTATAATATATATATATATATATATATATATATATATGTTTTGGAGTCTATTAGGTATGTTTTCAGGTTCATGAGCATTTTAAAGTAAAGTGATGATTTAGGTGCCCTTATGGAATTAAAGGAGAGATTTCCCGAGATGACTATAAAGATCAGACAATAAGGTCGATATCTAGAGATACATATCGATCGATACACATCCTGTGTAATCGATCGACGACGCTTTCGAAGAGGATGACGAATTAAGATACTCCACCGATCGATGTACACCATGTACCATCGATCGATATGAGGCGTGAAGAACAAGTTGACTCGGCCTTGAAGCCCAAGTTCTCTCAATATTACAAGATTTCCCCTGACGAGTTTTTTAACCTAATGGTACTCATATTTATAGTTTTACCTATGTATTTTGGCTAGACATGCTTTTCATACCTTAGTGCTTTTTGTACTTCAAATGCTTTACATGCTTTTTATGTTCTTTAATTTATAAAAATATTCTTTTCATCTTATTCTCATTTTCATAAAGGTTATAGAATTCTAGATTTAGAAGAAACACACAAATAGATTTGTTGTTCAAAGAACAAAGAGTTCAATCTTCTAATCTAATAAATTTCTATTATTACCTTGCTGCTATGAATCACTTAGCCATGTCTGAGTAGATTCACTTGTTAGATTTAGAGTTCAAATAGTTATGAGGGATTAGCCCCAACTATGGATTGTTGAGTTGTGATACTCATTATCCTGATGAACCCTAATGCTTACTCTAGAGTAGCTAACTAGAGTATGATCATGGAATGATTTAACTTTTTAATCATCATCGTGAAATCATCTGGTATAAGCTGAGATCCTCTAGGGACGATGCGAGAGCCGGTCTATGATCTTGGTGAACACATATTCAATTCGATCTGAAGCTATATCGATCGATACTCCTATAGAGTAATCGATCGATGGCTACCTATATCGTCCGATATGGCGATAATACCATCGGTCGATATTGCCGGCAGTCAGATCAATGGACGAGTCTAATAGCGATAGCTATAGATTTATCTAAGAATTGAAGTTCTTTAATATCTTTCAAGCAACTTATAAAGACATCGATAGCATTATAATCTTGATTATCTGAATAATAACCTTGAATCTGGCTACTTTCTTTTATTGTTTAAAACCTAAACCAAACTCTCTTGGGCAACTCACCATTGCTCACAACTGCAATTTACTTTTAAACTTTAATCAACCTAGCATAATCACTTAGGATTATATCTTTTGTGTTCCTTAGTTCCTTGTAGATTCGATCACTAAGTATTACAATTGAACCTCTTATTTGAGAGAGTAATTCACTCCTTAGGGTAATTTGAGTGATATTAAATTTGGCGCCGTTGCCGGGGAACTAAGATCGCCATTAGATTTAATCTGATTAGGTCTAGGTTATTTTTCTTTTTATTGCTTAATTATCTTCTGACACAAATTTTTTTTCTTGTCTCTTTCAGGTACATGCCCAACAGTACTAGAAGTAACAAGAACAACCAACTTGTGTACTCAGAAGATCCCCACAGTCTGGAACGTAGCATTTGCAAAGACTTACGTTCCACATCGGTCGACATCAACCACGGTTCTTCGACCGATATTCGCTTACCACAGTCGACCAAGACACCTTCTTCGTCGACCGATACTCGCACCCTTCCATCGATTGACATCAACAACCGTTCATCGACCGATATCTTTCACCCAATATCGATCGATATACCTCACCTTACATCGATCGATACTAACCGGCGAGACATGGTAGCGACTATTATTCTCACTACTGATGAGAATGGAGACTTGCGTGATCAAGATGATCACCTGCGTAATGCAGCAGGTCAGAAGCTGAATGCTTAGAAGGAGATCATTCCTGAGCAAGAGACTGCACCTACAGATCTTATTCAACCTGTAGAAGAGGCTAACAGAGCTAGAACATTGGCTGACTACAACCGTCCGGATCAGTTCTACACCAACCGATCAGCCATACGCCCCCTGCTATTCAGAGAGGAGATTTCGAGCTCAAGCCGTACTACACACTTGTAGGACAAATACCCTTCTGTGGGTTGTCCCATGAGCATCCGATGGACCATCTGGAGAGGTTCGAGGATGTTGGGGTCAAAATCGGTACGACGGAATTAATAGCCAAAACTCCCCGCGAAAATATAAAAAGAACAGTTTTATAAAACTCGAGAATTGTTTTATAAAACTCGAGAAGTCGTTTTATAAAACTTAAGGATCGTTTTATGAACCCCGAGGAATAGTTTTAGAAAACTCAAAGTCGTTTATAAAACTCGCAAACCGTTTTATAAAACTCGAGAAATCGTTTTATAAAACTCGAGAATCGTTTTATAAAACTCGAGAAATCGTTTTATAAAACTCGAGAAATCGTTTTATAAAACTCGAGAATCGTTTTATAAAACTCGAGAAATCGTTTTATAAAACTCGAGAATCGTTTTATAAAACTCGAGAAATCGTTTTGTAAAACTCGAAGATCGTTTTATAAAACTCGAGAAATCGTTTTATAAAACTCGAGAATTGTTTTATAAAACTCAAAAATCGTTTTATAAAACTCGAAGATCGTTTTATAAAACTCGAGAAATCGTTTTATAAAACTCGAGAAATCGTTTTGTAAAACTTGAGAATCGTTTTATAAAACTCGAAAATCGTTTTATAAAACTCGAAGATCGTTTTATAAAACTCGAAGATCGTTTTATAAAACTCGAAGGTCGTTTTATGAAATCCGAAGATCGTTTTATAAAACTCGAGAATCGTTTTACGAAACCGTAAAAAATCAAAAAAGCCGTAAAACGCGAACTAGTCGCAACTAGTTCGCCCATCGGCGAACTAAGCCGGCCCGGATTAGTTCTCCGATGGGCGAACTAGGGAGTGGTCAACTAGTTCGCCCATCGGCGAACTAAGCCGGGCCGGCTTAGTTCGCCGATGGGCGAACTAGGACATGCTCGACTAGTTCGCCCATCGGCGAACTAAGCCGGACCGGCTTAGTTCGCCGATGGGCGAACTAGAGACTTCCCGGACACTCCGCGTCTCGATTTCCCACATTCCCAATTCGAAACTTACGTCTTTCGACAAAGTCGCGTTCTAAACCACGGCTGAAATATCTACCGTTCCATCTCGATCCGACTTACCGTTTGAGTTTTACGATAAAAACCGTAAAACTTCGTTTTCCGGAAAGAACTCGAGGAAATCGTATAAAACGGCAACGGTTAAACGAAACACCGAACATTGCCTAAACTATACGATTTATTCGAGATTTCTCGTTGAAATCATAAAAAACGCGCTTTTAATAAAAAAACGCCGAGTAAGTCGTAAAAAACGTGTTTTTAATAAAAAGTCGAGTAAATCGTAAAATAGTACGATTAACTCGAGAAATTTATTAAAAACGACGTCAGATCAGGAAACGATCCCGTAAAAAGTCGGAAAACGATTTTTATCGCAAAACGGCCCAGAAGGACCTAAAACGCGATAAAAACCCATCTCGCGATTTCAACGGAATCTAACCCGCAGATTTGATAACATTTCGACGGTTTACCCGCAGAAGGAGAATAAAAGTCAAGTTTAAAGATAAAAGGAAGGTTTGAAGAGAAATAGAAGATTTCCGCGGAAGAAAAAGGAAGGATCGAGAAGAATGGAAAATTCCCGATTTAGCCAAATCTGGGCGAAATGGAAAGATCGGATAGCCAAGGCGAGGAGTATATAAATAGGAGGTCTAGGGCAGAAGCAAGAGACACGAAATTCAGAGCTCTCACCACCAAAACTAGCATTTAGGAATATTTCTGTTTATCTCAATTAGTGTTTTCGTTCTTAAGCTTTTCGGCTACTCTTTTGTACCAGTTCTACGCAGATTCGGAATAAGAACCTTCTTTGCTCTCTATTTCGTTTATTTCGTTCAAATTCTAAGTTATCGTTTTCTTAATCTTCGTTGTGCGGTTCTCGCAGATAGCCGGTTCCTCTGGAAACTTAGGGTTTTCCCGAAGTTTCCTTATTTACGATTAGTTGACAGTAGGTGGAAATCGTCACCCACAGTTTGGCGCTAGAAGGAGGGGGGGGGTCGGATCTATCTTACACCGTAGCCGCAACATGTCCAACGAAGAAACGATGACTGGTGACAACCAAACTCGCAACGAACGCGACAACGTTGAAACACCACTACCAAAAGACGCGTCTGCGGCCAACGCTACGAACGCTAACGCCGAGACCGTCGAAAAGATGCTTTCCGAGTTTAACAAAAAATCGAAAGAGCAGGAAAAGCTCATTTCTTCGCTCGCAAAACGGCTCGAAACCCTAACTGCGAGAACCAGAGCGATTCGCCCCCGCGGAACTACCAAGATCCGCGGAAGGAGACTCAATTTCGGCGCTCCTACGGATCGTCCCAGAATCGATCAGGGAAATGTACCAGAAAAGGATTCTGGAAAAGAAAACCCTGACACGACGCTGAACGAATCGAAAAAATCTCCTATTCGCGAACAGGAGACCGAAGGCGACGGCATCGAAAGGGTCAACCTGGAAACGAGCGACCAGCCCGACTCGACAGACGAAGATGCCAACGTCCATCCTAGGAGAAGAAAAACTCGCAGTCCTCAACCGGAGTCTTCTCCCGAACGTTCCTTTACTGGAGACGAAGGGGAACTCGAC